ACGAAAAGTAACGTGCAACTGACTCGAAGTCATAAGGTAACCTATCAGTAGCTCCACAGGAATTGCGGGCCTAAAAGCGGCCTACAACATGGATAATCTTGAGAATCTTCCATACAAGAAATATATGATAATGCCGTCTATATGCGGAAATGACCAACTGTTCAAAAGTGCATGTTCAGAAGCTCCAAAAGAGCTACAGGAAGTTCCAGATATAGATATAGTTATACGACTCAGTCAGTGGACGATTCTCCCATGTCTAGGCGAAAACAAAAAATTGAAAAAGAAATCAAACCAATAAATGCTGAAATGCTTCTGGACTGATTCTTCTAAAACCAAAAGCAGTTTCAACTACTTCGGACTAAAGAATCCATCCAAGTAGAACAAGAAACGACACGAACTTTGGAAGAATGTCCTGAAACCCTAGGATGGATCGGGATTGATAGATGAACAGAAGATATGTCCAACAGTGAAGACGACGAAGAAAAGATGTTGAAGTGGCGCGAGCGAGAGAAGATCGGAGATCAAACTCACTACAAATGGAAATGACTAAATCTCAATCATAGAAATCAGCGATGGAAAGTTACCTGAATAACAGATCGGCGAGATGCCTGGTTGAGAAACAAAGATCTTGCGTGCCCTAAACAAGAAGATGAAGAAAAAGAGAATAACAGAGAAAGAAGAGGAACAAAATTGCCGGAGTGATGATATTTGAAGGGTAATAAAAGTCAGGTGCGACCCAGCAGACCAGCCTTCGCTCCTCCCTCAATTTTATTTTATTTTTTCCACCTTTTCATTTTTTTAGACTAAGATTTGAGGCTAATAAAATTATCTCTAAATGACATATTTATTTTTAAAATACTCCTAATTTTTTTAAAAAAAAAATCAATAATATTTATAAATTTTCAAAAAAAATCTCTAAAATATTTTCCAATTAGTTTTAAATTTTTTTAATAAGTTTAAAATGAAGTTTTTTAAAACTTAAAAGGGTAATTTTTAAATACTTTTAAAAAAAATGTATTTTTAAAACTTTTTAAATTTTAATAATATTTTTTATGTAAAAATAAATGTATTTTTTTTAATTTTTTTAGAAAAATTAAAGATATTATAAAATAAATTAATTATATTTAATTTTTAAAATATGACATTTATAATTTTAATTATTTAACTAACTATTTATACCTTTATTATAATCGTTTACTTGAGAATGCTGTTAATTTAATTGCTAAATAAACTAAAAAATTATTTACAAATTAATCAAATTAAATTAAAGAAAGTTTATATAATTTTATAATATACTTCATCATTTAGTTTAGTTTTTAAAATATAAGTTATACTAAATAGTTATAATTAAAAATTTATATGATTTGATTAAATTCATTTATTCTATGTAATTATAAGATCTATTACAAAATAAACTAAAAATATATAAAATTTACCAATGAAAAATAAATTAAATTTTAATTAGTTAAAATTATTTTATTAATTTGACATTAAAATATAATAATTGATCGTGGTTAATTATCTGAAATTAAATAATATAATAAAATTGTTTAAAATTATTTATTTATATAAAATTCTTATAACATTTATAACACCGTCACATTTATTTGATTAATAGACAATATTTTTCAAATATTATAAACAAAACGTTTTATCTGTTTCTTTGGGTAACATACATTTTTTACGAGACATTATAAATAAAACTTTTTATTTATTTTCTATTGAACTTGTGATACGAGGACTTGCAATTCCCAAAATCGGGGATACACTCAATCTTGAAACAACATTCCGACTACCAATATCACCAAAAGTAGAACACCGCCAATTACATTTGTGCACCTACTAAATCCAGCTGAACTTTGAAACATGCTTGAGAATGAACAACAAGAAAATTATAAAGAAACATAAAAGGTCAATATTTGTTTGGTTGTTTCTATCTCGACTCAGATATTGAAGAAAAGTGGATTTGTGTGTAACTAACTCCAAACCGTACATGAGACGAGTTTCTGCCTCGTATAGCTCGGCTTGACGACAGGAGAGGTCAAGATGGTTTGGAGTTCAAGCGCATCGAGCTCAAACTCTTTCCCTCAATGGGACATGGATCTCGAATCCTCTTCTCCTATAAAGTGAAGGAGAGAAGCCGAAGCTTGAGCATGATATAGTGAAGAGCTTAAGTTCACGCGTGATTTACAAATCATACTTTTACGTACAATTTTATTGATATAAGACTTTTTTTAAAAATTAAAAGCAAATGTACTAGAGTTTATGTTTTATTATATAATTGTCGAAGAAAAAGAGATAATCATATAATATTATTGTTTTTATTAACTTATTTTTGTTTGAATAAGTATATTGAAAATTTCATATATATATATATATATAAGTAATTTATGTTATATTTTAAAATATATACTACTTTATAGGTGGCTAGAGGAATTTAATTTCAATAACAATATATTCCTCTAATTTTATTTATTTATTATTATTTTAAATTCCATTGTAATTAATTAATCCATACATAAACCCTAAAAACGTAATGTGGCCAGCTGGCTTTGACAAATTGTGTATTAAAAAAGATTTAATGGAAGTCTTTATTTCAACTACCAAAGGGCGACAGGTGGCGAGCAGCCGCAAGCAATTGTGTTTGAAAGCGTAATAAATAATAGAGAAACGCGTCATAAATTGCCCCGTCAACCACGTTATCCATACATATTATTTCCTAATTTCTATTTAAATAATTTATGCTAAATTAATAAAATTACATCCCAAATTTATATTTACTTAAAAAATATCCGTAAACTAAAAAAAATTAATATTTTGAATTTTTAAAATATTATATTTAAAAAATACATATGAAATTTTAAATACAATATCAGTCTTCTTTATTTTTATAAATAAAAGTCTGTAATACATGGATGAAAATTGTATATCGACACCTCATAGATTATTTTTCAATTTTTTTAATTATTATAATAATATAGTCAATTTGTATTTCAACCAAAAATTTACTTACTTCCTTTTTGCTTGCTTTTTGCTTGGGTTAAAAAATAGGCAAACAAAATCTTAAATTTTATCTCTAAGTTATTATGTTTTCTTTCTACTTAAGTTGAGTGTTATTATTACTGCTCTAAAGTAATTTTCAAATTACATTTATTTTCTCGTTTTTAATTATTATTTTTATTTCAAAATTTTCGTATAATTTAAATATTTATTAGATATCATAAATATAGTCAATATTCAACTCAGATGTTAGAGGTTGAATTCTCGATTCCATATTTTTTAACAAAAAAAAATATTATTCCTTTATTTTAAATGAATTATTGTACTTGTGTTTATAATAATTATTATTACTTATATTACACTTCCGACAGCATATTTAACTGCCTTGTTACAAAATTCCTGCCCGTTAGCTAATATTTGTCGATAAAAACAACTTTTTTTTAAATTATTGATGATTTATTGTGCTAGCTTGTCCTCACAACAAAATGCATAATTGATTAGCTTTACTATATATTTCAATGATATTATTGTTCGAGCAGGATTTGAAATCCAAATTTACCACATGATGTTCTCTGACATTCACGTACCATACAGTCACGTTACTTCTAATTTTAAGAACGAACGCTATCTCAAAAAACTAACACGGATCATTTTAGCACGTTTTTGTCCTCACTCACAAGTTTGTTAGAAACAAAATTCAGAAGGTTACTGAACATAGTAACTTTTACTTATTTTTAATTATTTTATATTTAGGATCGCTCGCGTTTGAATGTAGTATTAGTTCATTCATGTATTCCTTATTTACTCGGGTGTCACAGATTACGTATTACATATATGGTTTATTACTTTCAATAAAATAAATAAATTACATAATATGAAGTGTGAATAGATCTGAAAATATTATTACTCAAGTAAACAATACAGGGTTAAAAAAATAAAAAATAGATACAAGATACAATTAATACCTACGAATAAGAAAAATATAAACTAACTAAATTTTGAGAATGAAATAAAATATACTACTACTCAAGTCATAGAAGAAAAATATTAAATGATTACGAATATTTAAGGTATATTTCATAATTAATATATTCTCTAAATATTAATTGATTAGAAATATCTTGATTAATTTATTACAGTACATTCTGACATTAATAATATTTTTATTCAATAAACTACTAAAAACAGACCAACTACTAAAATAACATACCAATTATTGAACGGTGAGAAAATTTGCATTTGACTAACTGTGACATATTTTGATTGGTCAACGCTTTGTTAACTTGAAATATAAGCCAACCCAGTAGAGTGAATTCGAAAAAGCTAGATTCTTCTTATTTGGCATTTTTTTTTCTCCCTAAAAAAAAAAAACTTTCATATCTATAAAATAAGAAGAAAGCATTTATACATTCCTTAAATAAACATCCATCATTTATATACTCTTTATAAAGCCGTTCAACCAGACGTAAATTTTACTCTTCAAATAAAGATATTATACCAATAAAGGAAATTCGAAAATAAAAAATACATTATATATTTTAATACAACAAATATAAGCTTAAATTACACCTTCTGAAATTTATTTATATATATATATATATATTAAATTTTAGATTTTGTATTTAATATGTCCAAAAAATTAATATTTTCTAATAAATCATATAATTCCATAAGATAATAAAAAAAAAGACAATTACACGTGGCTAGAGCTTAAATTAACAAATTCTTTATTGGTTGAATTATAATCAATTATTGTATTGTATATAAATAAAAGAAACTAAAGATATATTTTAGTATTTTAAATTTAATTTAAAAAGTTTTTAAATTAATTTTGTATTAATACTTGTGAGTGGACTCGGACTCGGACCCAAAAAACCCGAAATCCATGTGCTAACTGACGACTGCCTCGTGATGGACGGCTCAAACTTCGTTCCACCTGTGCTCCAATTTATTTATTTATTTTTAATTTCATGGAATCGAATAAATGCGAATAATAAACTTTTCACATTTCGTCAATGGGTTCTGTTCTTTTGTGGCGTTTTCTTGCTGGATTCAAACCAGTTTACCCAACTCTGAAACTTGCTCTTTCTGTTACTTTTGAATCCCGCCATTAAAGCCCAACTGTTCTTCCTCCTCGAAGTTTCTTCTCCGTTTAGCATCCATTTTCCCCTTGATTTTACCTTTTTACAAGTTCTATCTCGAGATGAACTTGATGATTTTGAGTTTTGCCAGAAGAATTCAGCTGTCAGTCCGCGTTCTAGCCCCCTTTTGACTGTGTGATCATTTGATCGTTCTTTTGTTTTTTTGTTGCTTTGCTCTGATTGCATGTAATGGAACTGTATCTGTGCGCTTTTAAAGCTGTCTTCAACTTCATCCCGGTTGGCGCTTTTTGAGATTTATTGTACTTTGCTTCCCTGTTTGCCTCAAATTTGCCTCCTGCTCGGGATATAAATCTGGTTCTATCACTGTTTGGATCTCTGATGATAAAGAAAGTGCTAATTTCTCGGTCGTTTTCATGGATTCTGATTGAACAAACATTCGACTGATTGTTTTTCATCATAAACCCTAGTTTTTCAAAAGTTGCTTCGAATCAGGTTTTGTTTGTGATTCTGTTTCTTGATTAGCTCTAGAAACTTGTAGCGATGGATTGTAGAAGAAGATTTGGATTACTGTTCTGGATTTTGTTCATTTCGTTGCTGCCGTGCATTTCTTGTTTGTTTAATCCGGTAGATAATTATCTTATTGACTGTGGATCGCCGGCTAATGTATCTGTGGGTAATCGTGTTTTCATGGCCGATAATTTGGTCTCCAAGTTGCTTTCCACCCCAAAAGTCATTCTGGCTAATACGTCTTCAGTACCTGCCAGTTCTTCTAATGATTCGTCGCTGTTTGGAACGGCTAGAATCTTCACTGGATCATCAAAATTCAAGTTTCCAATTACGGCTGGAAGGCACTGGATCCGTCTCTATTTCTATCCATTTGTGTTTCCTGGCTTCAATATGAGTGCTGCAAATTTTAGTGTTTCGACCCAAAATTTTGTTCTGCTGCGAGATTTAGTTGCTGTGAAGAATCCTGTGGTCAAAGAGTTCTCTGTTAACGTAGCTTCAGATACTCTTGAAGTTATATTTACTCCTGTTAATGGCTCCTTTGCATATGTGAATGCCATTGAAGTTACTTCTGTTCCTGACATTCTCATCACTGATGAAGCCAGTTTGTTAGAACCGTCTGGTAAATTCGACGGGCTATCTGCTCTGGCATATGAGACAGTTGCTAGGGTTAATATGGGTGGGCCAAAGGTTTCTCCAGATAATGATCCTCTCGCGCGGAGTTGGGTTCCTGATGAGAGCTTTCTAGTTAATAAGAATTCTGCAATAAGTTTCTCTAACATTGCAGCTGTTAAATACAGTGATGATGGGGCAGCTCCAGAGATTGCTCCAAATGTTGTCTACGGTACCCTAACCGAGATGAACTCGAAGGATGATCCAAGCAGTAATTTCAATGTGACATGGCGATTTAAAGTGGACCCGGAGTTTCAGTACCTTGTTCGGTTTCACTTCTGTGACATTGTGAGCAAAGCTCTACACCAACTTTATTTCAATGTTTACGTTGACTCATGGTTGGTCGCTCGGGATTTAGATCTTAGTATTCCTCTTAACAATGCTCTGGGCACTCCTTACTATATGGACGCTGTTACAGGATTGATCAAGAATGACATACTTCTTGTGAGCATTGGCCCAGCAAATTTAGCCAATGTGTATCCAAATGCCATTCTAAATGGTCTGGAAATCATGAAAATGAACAACTCAGTTGGCAGTCTTAGTGGGGAAGACTCTGTAATTAGTTTTCTGAACTCGACTTCTTCCAATAAGCACATCGGCGTGATTGTGGGCGTAACCGTTGGTGCATTTGTTGCAGCTATGTTGGTCGCTGTTCTGTTTATACTGAACAGACGAAGAAGAAAGGGAATGCATCAAGCTCCATCAAAAACATGGATTTCGATATCGACGGCTGGAGGAATGTCACACACTATGGGAAGTAAATACTCAAATGGCACTATCACAAGTGCTGCTTCCAACTATGGATATCGTATACCGTTCGCAACAGTTCAAGAGGCTACAAATAACTTCGATGAGAGCTGGGTTATTGGTATTGGAGGGTTTGGGAAAGTATACAAAGGAGTTTTGAATGATGGCACCAAAGTTGCTGTGAAGAGGGGTAACCCACGTTCCCAACAAGGACTGGCAGAGTTTCAAACTGAAATCGAGATGCTATCACAGTTCCGTCATCGTCATCTTGTATCGTTGATTGGGTACTGCGATGAGAGGAATGAGATGATACTGATTTATGAATATATGGAGCAGGGGACCCTGAAGAGCCATCTATATGGTTCTGATTTCCCTAGTTTGAGCTGGAAGGAGAGATTAGAGGTCTGCATTGGAGCCGCTAGAGGACTTCATTACCTCCACACTGGTTATGCTAAACCAGTTATTCATCGTGATGTCAAGTCTGCTAATATTTTACTCGATGAAACGCTCATGGCAAAGGTCGCTGACTTCGGTCTTTCAAAGACAGGGCCTGAAATTGACCAAACCCATGTTAGTACGGCCGTGAAAGGAAGTTTCGGATACCTCGATCCCGAATATTTCAGGAGGCAACAACTGACTGAGAAATCAGATGTTTATTCTTTTGGAGTTGTGCTGTTTGAAGTCCTTTGTGCAAGACCTGTCATAGATCCAACCCTTCCAAGAGAAATGGTAAACTTAGCTGAATGGGCAATGAAATGGCAGAAGAAAGGGCAGTTGGACCAAATCATTGATCCTACTCTAGTGGGAAAAATTAGACCAACTTCTCTTAGGAAGTTTGGAGAAACTGCTGAAAAATGCTTGGCTGACTATGGAGTCGACAGGCCATCTATGGGAGACGTATTATGGAACTTGGAGTATGCACTTCAGCTACAAGAAGCAGTCGTTGAAGTCGATCCTGAAGATAACAGTACAAATATGATCGGTGAGCTCTCTCCACAGATTAACAATTTCAACGACGTTGAGGCAGGTGTTTCCGCTACACGGTTTGACATTCCGGGTGTGGATGATCTCTCGGGAGTCTCCATGAGTAGGGTGTTCTCTCAGCTGGTGAAGTCTGAAGGTAGATGACCGATGTTTCTGCAGCGTTAGGCCATTGTGTCGATTCTTCATACTCGATTTAATCCATTCCCCATGGACCACTTTCAACCCCATAAAAGAATAATAGCCTTGAATTGGTCCGACGCAGCTGAATATGAGGCGTTCTGTATACACCAGGCGACGATGTAGGCAGGTCCTTTTAAACAATGTCAAACTACATGTAACATATTGGGTTCTTTTCTTGTACAAAAGGGGTTTTATGCAGGCGAGTCTTTGCAATATCCATCAAACATGTTACTTCTTTAACGAACAAGGTAGTTCGATTGCGATTTGCATCACTTCATCGTAAGTATTCGTTTTTTTTCGCTGTTACGTGTTTGTCTAGAATCATTGAGACATCTAGTCTTATAATGTTTCTTGGTTAGTTGAGCATCCTGGCAATGTCAATGACCTTGGTGTGTCATTCTTTTCTGAATTTCCCTATCTCCGTTTGGGAGCGGTGGGAGCGGTGTCGAGGCGCTTTGTCGTGTATGTGTTTAGCTCTGAACCTCTTTTTGTTGGAGCATGTTTTTGCTGCAATTTATAGGTAAATTCTTCATCTGGGCATTGTTTTCTTTGTGATACCTTGAATATTTCAACTCTGTAATGAACAGCCATGCATTCCTGTCTTCAACTTTCAATGCATCTTAATTGCTGTTATTGGTTGATCCAAGCCACTCGATTTCTTTCCAGTATTTATTTAGCATATGGTATAAATTCGTATGATATCTTATTGTGATGATTGTTTGGTTTTAAGATTTGGTTCGACAAATGATTAATATAATTTACAATTTAAACACATTATTTGTTCTTAGGATAGTGAAATATTTATGAGGATGAACGGGATTACTCTATCCTTAAATAGTTATCCGTTCAGGATTATTCTCGAGCATATTACTTTTAACTAGTCAACCCTTCTTCTCGAGCATATTACTTTTAACTAGTCAACCCTTCTTCACTAGAGAACACCCTCTATTTGATAAGCTCAACCATAGTTCACTATATGACTATGCCATTGAGACAATGATATAGCTAAGTCGTGGACATGATTCTAATACTACTGTTAGGGACTCTAGAACCATTGTAACAGCCCAAGGTTCGAAGGGGTGGATTGTGAGATCCCGCATCGATTGGGGAGGGGAACGAGTGTCAACGAGGATGTTAGGCCTTAAAGAGGGGTGGATTGTGAGATCCCACGTCGGTTGGAGAGGGGAATGAAACATTCCTTTTAAAGGTGTGGAAACATCTCCCTAGCGGTTTTAAAAACCTTGAGGGGTATCACTAAAGGAAAGCTCAAATAAGACAATATCTGCTAGCGATGGGTTTGAGTTGTTACAACCATCAACATATACTTACCCGAATATCACGTGATGTAAGTTAACCGTTAACCATTTCCTGAATCAAATGAGCGTATGAGATCGTTCAAAACCAAACCAAGTTTTGTTATAAAATTGAATTTACTATTTTAACCCTTGTTTACATTTTAAAATCCGGTATTAATACTAATAATTAGTTCAATTTTCATTGTGATAACCGGAGAACATTATGGAGAATGATACTTACGATCTTCATATTTGATTCATTAAATAATAATAATAAGCAAATTCTTTTAATAAACTTTGTTTATCAGTGGGAATTTCGGGCCGGGCTTTTTCTTGCTAGCTGGATCTCTTCAGGCCCAATCTTACAGACATTGCGTCATCTTTTTGGGCTTAAACTCTGAACGTGGGCCCTATGTTGGCCCAATTAGACAGTTCTGGGTAGCCCGGCAATCGAGTTTCGAGTTTCGTTCCCGCCGTTAAACCCCTCGTCTATCCCCTTTTTCACAGAGTTACAGAGCTCTACAAAGTTTCAGTCTCCTTTCTGCTTCAACACTGTGCTTCTTCAATACAAAGCTCTTTCATCATCGCCATGCGTTTCTTCGACCTCAACATACCTTACGATGAGCATTCATCATCATCATCATCATCATCATCATCATCATCATCTTCGTCTTCTTCTTCAAGTAGGAATCGCATCAGGATTGTGGCCAAACTCATGGAGCTCGGCTACTCTGGTATCGCCTACAACCGTACAATCAAAGGAGTGATGTCCGATCGAGACCGTTGTTCTATTCCCCTCCTCAACGTTTCATCTCTTCACAGTATCCTTCCATCGTTCTCCGCCTCCGTAGAGTTCCACCGGGATCTCCTCGGCGTCCCACGGTCCTCTCGTTTCCGGCAGTACACGCGTCTTACTATTTCTGTTAACAGTTTGCACGAGGTTATGGCTGTCAATTCTGACAACCTTATTCTGAAGACCTACGATTTGATTGCTGTGAAGCCTCTTAATCAGTATTCTTTCGAGCAGGCTTGCGAGAAATTGGAGGTATGTCGGATTTACCTGTGTATATATTTTATTATGTAGCTACAAAATTTAGCATTTTTTGGATTATTCAATGATCTTGTTTGGCGTGGAGAGATATTAGTGATTGCATAAGTTAGTAATTCTAGTTGCAACCTCTTTACTAATTCGAACTTATCATTTTTGCATTGGTCTGCACAATATGGTCATATTAACTGTGTTTTTCATCACGTAGATAGATATAATTGCCATTGATTTTGCGGAGAAACTGCCTTTCAGTTTGAAGCAAGGTCCGATTAAATCTGCAATTCAGGTTTGTCAATCATTAATCTTTCGTTTTTTGATATACTTGTGGTCATAAATAAATGTATCATAATTAGTGATTGAGTTTTACCTTCTGGCCATTTTCTTTTTTATCGCAGCGTGGAGTTTACTTCGAAATCATGTACTCTGATCTCCTTTCCGATGTTCATGATAGGAGGCAAACGATATCCGCTGCTAAGGTGAAATGAAAGTTTGTAGTGTCACGCATCGTAGATTGTTGTAGTGGACCAGTGGTCTACTAGAAATTTTATGTTCTGATATCTTGTTTTTGTTAATATATTGAATTTCTTTCTTAGTGTGAATGAACACGTCTTATCATCTGTGCTTTAGCCTGTTGAACTTTCAGATCTTGGTGGATTGGACTAAAGGAAAGAATCTCATATTATCCAGTGCTGCCCCCTCTGTAAATGAAATCAGAGGACCTTACGATGTCGCAAACTTGTCATCATTGCTGGGTGTCTCTATGGAATGCGCAAAAGCTGCTGTTTCAAAGAACAGTAGGTATGAGTGCTTTAAAAGAATAATTAAAAGAGATGTTGTAATTTGAAAAAGTACAAATTTATATTTACATATTTTTCATGTGTACTGCATTTCAGGAGTCTTATAGCTAATGCTCTAAAGAGAAAACAATTCTACAAGGAAACCATTCCAGTTGAAAGGATATCAGCAGATGATAAATTAGATCTGAATGACCCTTTGTCAGCGGATTTGTTCAAATGGGATCCTATATCAGGTGGTGAAGGTGATTTTTTATTGGATGATATAGCAAAATCTTTTGCTGCCTCTAATGAAAAATTGAGAGGTGCGAAAGCCATTGACGACATGCCACCACAAGGTTTTCTAGTCAAGAATGTAATATCAGGCTCTAAGGAAAAACTGTTGTTGAATGAGAAAGGCAAAAGCACTGTTGAAGAAATTGCGCAGCCAAAGACCTCAAAGATGGAAGAACCTATTGAAATGGACATTGATAACGTGCAATTGAAAAACCCACTACCCAGTAGCGAGTTAAGTGCAGTATCAGCAAATGAGCTTCTGAATTCTCCTACATCTACCAGAGATGTATCAGCTGTAGTTTTCGGAAATGACAGAAAAGAAACTTCTAAAATGGAGGCTGTTGATTTTCATCAGTATGAATATGGTCTAAAAAGTTCTGATATATTGACTGGTTCAGAAAATATGTTGAGGGACAAAACTTCTACTAATTTGGTTTCAGAAAATCAAAAGAATGTGATAATGGACGGTACATTTACAGCTGAAGAATGTTTACTTGATGCAAGACTTGGGAAGCCTGGGGATGTGGCAATGGCTGATTGTCATGTTTCTCCTCTTGGTTTGAAAGATGATCATTTGATCTCGATTAGACAACAAACATCTGAGGTGTTAATGGAAGAGCAGAAAAGTGGAGAAGCTGATCCAGAGATCACACAACCACCTTCCGATCAGTAGTGTATATCTGGTGTGTTGTCAACAGGTACCTAACTCCCATCGAGATATCAGACATGGAAGCTTGTTTGTTATCCTCCCCTTTCAGCCTTTGTTCTTCTGATTTGGATACTTGAGTATATTTTCTTCACTATAGTATTCATATTAAAGTGTCAACATTAATATTCAACTAGGAGCCGCCAAACAATTGACATATATGCAACAAACAAGCTCACTTCTTCACTGTAACCCCACAAAATATTATCAGTTTGGGATATACCAACTGAAACCTCCATGGTGATTGAACTTCGTTTTGTTTTCCTATTTAATTCCGTGAACTATGAAAACTGAATCAACTGAAACCTTCAATTGCTTGATTTTATTTTTTTTGAAACTAGTAAAAGCAGGGAAATGCCCGTCGAAACGGAGAAGACATCATCCAATGTCAAAGCTTTCGCTTGGGGTTAATCAACCCTCTGGCCTTCAAGAAAGCCCGTGAAACGTATACAGAGAAGTAGTGATCAAAACGGAGGAGACATCACCCAGTGCTATTGCTTCCGTTCAAGCGCTCAATCGATCTGCTAGCCTTCAAGAAGGTCCGCAAAACTAAATGCTAGCAGTTATCTATTCTTAGGTTTTATTTATCTTGATTGATACCATTTATTCTTGTTTATAATACTTGGGTATGCATATCGCACCTATTAATCTCAAATGATTTTTTTTTATTGATATCGAGTATGAAAAAGTTGTCCCTTTTTTTCCTTTCGAAGAATGCATGAGGGCGTTCGGGTAAAGTTAGATATGCATATTTGGACTAGTTTTATTAGTCTATCACTTGGTTTTAGAATATTTGATGCTTGAGAAGTCGTAGGTCATTTACTATTTTAAAGGTTATAGATGTTTTATGAACTTGATTGTTTCTAGTTCTGGACCTCCATTTAAATTAGATCTTAAGTGAGAGGGGTGTGTAGTGTAAACGATCATTAAAGGACCTTTTTAGAAAGTCAATGTCTTATTCATTGAATAAAGCTCCAGTTGGCATGGTCAAAGTCCATTCAACAGCAAGTAACCTACTCTTATTCACTGACCTTAGTTAATACGTAACTATAAATATTCGCCATGATGAGGACTCAAGCTTCTATCATTTATCACCAAAGAATTTCAACTTGCGTTCTCTAAACCAATTGGGGTTTTGTCCATTTCAGCATCAAAACAATATTGTAAATTCCATTCAAATTCACCCTCTTCCCATTTGGGTCTGTTAGTTCAAAGGAATGCCGTAGGGTTCAAGTCTACTTTAACTATTCCATTTAGGATAGGAGCACAACATGTCTTTCTTTTTATCTTTTTTCTTGGTATGATTTTTATTTTAGGAAGACCATTATATTGTAGTTTTTTTAGTGAAATTGGAACTAATAGTATAATTTTGAGGAGTGTTAAATAAATTTGAAAGTTACAGTTAAAAACATCATTACCATCAAGGCCCGTTATTATTATTATTATTTTTTCGTTTGGAAAGATGTGAGATCCCATATTGGTTGGGGAGAGAAACAAAACCTTCCCTTATAAATGTGTGGAAGTCTCTTTCTAGTAGACGCGTTTTAAAATCGTGAGGCTAATAACGATATGTAATGGGGCCAAAGTAGGTAATATCTGCTAGCGATGGGCTTGGGCTGTTATACATGGTATCAGAGCTGGATACCGAATGGTATGCCAGCAAGGACGCTAAGGCCCTCAAAGAGGTGGATTGTAAGATCTCACATTGGTTGGAAAGAGGAGCGAAACATTCCTTATAAGGGTATGAAAATCTCTCTTTAGTAGACGCGTTTTTAAATTATGAGGCTGACGACGATACGTACCGAACCAATTCTAACAATATCTACTAATGGTAGGTTTATTACCGGTGATGATTTTACTTTTATTTTTATTTACGTTTATTAACAATAGTCAAAAGTTTTCTGCCATTTATGTTAGCATATGCATATCTTAATTACCATAATTTGGAAGTAGACTTGGTTAAAGGCATACATAGCTCCATTCTTGCAATTTTTAAAAATCCTTTTGTAGCAGAAGAAGCCATGGCTAAGCCAGAGAAGTTGGGGCTCATCATCAGTCTAATGAACCAACCAATTGACCCACCAGGGGATCCAAACTGTAGGAGGCTTGGAATTCCATGAATCTTCCCCACTGCTTGTAAAGCCGCAAAGCACTTCATTGGTGGCAACACACATGTGAGTAGTTTATATGCTTATGAACAGCTAATAAATCAGCCAATTTATGTTATTTTAATTTAGAACTACATGCATAGTTAGAAGGACAACCAGTACGAATTAAGAACCTTTTCTAAAAGTGGCTGGAAGTGCTTTTAAGTATATTTAGAGTACTTCTAATTACATTAAAAAGCTTTTTCTTTTTAAGTTAAATTAATAAAAGTATTTAGCATTATTATTTTATTTCAAAAATACCTTGAAACTAACACCCTTTTACCTTTATAAAGAAAACTTTCTAGCGATATTTCATAGATTATCTACTAATGTTTTAATGTTATTTTAGAAAGTTCATGAGTACTTTTGAAACGTAGGAATAACGGTAATGAATACTTTTTACACCATTTTGAAAGTTCTAAGGTATTTTTGAGAAGTATCCATGGTTTCTGACCAAAACTTTAGGGATATTGTTATTAATTTAGTTTTTTTTTTATATTTTAAATATTCTATTGCATGAATTGGTGGAAAGGAATGGTGTGGTGAGTAAGCTAGAGCTTAGATTCTGAAGACTGCGACTGTCACCAAACTAAGTTGCAATCCATTTTGTAGTGAGAGTGACTGAAATTCTCCACCTTTTTGACTTATCTTTAGCCCTTATCCCCCGAGCACCCAAACAGAGCTCGAATCAGTTCCAAAAATGGCTCAATCTTTACACACCAATCAATGTCAAATCCTTTTCACAAAAAGATGAAAAGGAGTTCCATTCTTCATTCTTATTACAAAAAACAAACCTTTTTATTTACATCCCAAATACGAAACAAACAGAGAACCTCAAATTAGTAAATATAGAGCTCTCACGCAAGTGAATGGCAGGTCAAAATGGAAGAGGCCTATTGGAACTAGAATTACATTATTATTGTTGTTTTTGTGTGAGATTTCATGGAATTAGGTTTGCAGAAGAATATGCATCAATGAAATACTTAATCCAATTTTCACCACCATTATTTGCCTCTTCCTCTTCTTCTTCTTCCTTTTGCCCATGACTCCACTGCATTGGACAATTCTTCGCAACGTTGTCGTTGTACCTTGCGAATCGTCCTCTGATCCGTGGTCGACTATCGGCTAGCGATTTCCTACAAGCATACTTTAACCACACTCATATATTAGTGTGAATTACTTTAACACTACCCATGTAATCTATGGATATAAATAGAGAACTTTTACCCAATTTAGGGTAGGTGGGGTGGTTTTAGCAAATATTTTCATGGTATCATAACCCATCCAGTTTAGCAATCCTGATCATTTCTTCACCGGCTTCTAAATCCTCTTCTCATCTACTTCCTAACACTCTAATCCATTTGATCATCCTCAAGCTTTCTTCGTCAAATTATCTTATTTGGAAAAACCAACTTCTCCTTCTCATTGAGAGTCGGGACATGTTGGATTACGTTGATGGAACTCTAGTTTCACCACCTCACTTTGAACCAGCAACCTCCTCAACACTCATTTGGTGTGGAAAGTAGCCCATCAACGACTTTCCTGTCTCCTCTCTCAACGAGGAAGTCATTGTTATTGTGGTTGGTCTCTTCATTGCCCGTGACGTTTGGTTCATGTTAGAGATTACGTTTAGCCATAATTCGAAAGTACACTTGTTCCTTCGTGGACTCAAATCAATTTCTCAACCTTTTCTACTGCTCAAATGGCTATGATACCACGAGAATATTTGCTAAAACCATCACACCTAAACGGTACTAAAAGTTCTCTATTTATAATCATTTACAGAATAAAAGGAAGTGAAGAGAGCATTAAATGGATACACGATATTAGCCTATGATCAAAAGTCAAATATGATACATATGACAAAACGCAATTGTAGGCTAAAGATATTAGCCTATAATCAAGGGTCAAATATCATATTATTGAAAAGACACCAGAGAATTTGATCATCTCATTTCTTGGACTACTTTTAGGATGATTTTAAATTATGGCTTTTCCATCGTTACCTTCCAAATATTGAAACGACCTTTTAACCTTTAAAGTGAGAGAGAGATCGATGTGACAAAAGCAAAAAAATCATGATAATTATAATACGAAAGTAACAACAATTTTAGCTTATAGTTGTTGGCATATAGAATCTAGGAAACAATATGTAGGCAGAATAATATTGTGTAGAATTAATTAATCCATAATTTCAAGTAGGATAGATAAAGAATAGGAGAGAGAAGACTTTACCTTGATCTTCTTGTTGAAGTTCCTCTGGTTTCTTTTGCTCTTATATCTTTCAATCCTTTCCTTCTTCTCTTCTGGACTGTATCTGCAAGCTCTGCTTAGCCCTTCAATGGTGATGCTACTTTCGCATGAAACTGGACTCTCTGCTCTCTGCTTATTCCTCTGCCATCCCCATTCCTGAACTCATTATTCAAACCCCATTTAATAATATCATATATATACATATATATATATATATATATATTTTTTTTTTTTTTAATCATCCTTTGCATGGAGGTTACCTATGATTATAGCAGCCAGCTTAGAACATGTTCGGAACGGTACAAACGTAACATTTTGAATGAACTAAATCGAAATTGTTGGATGTGATCTTTACATTTTTCACTATAAGTGTGTGAATCTTCGTAATAGTATGATATCATATGCTTTAAACATGAGCTCTCAAAATGCTTAGTATGAAGGTAGTGCCCCTTATCATTAATCATTCATTTTTGTAAGTCTCACCTTAAAATCACCGGCCGGGAAGAGCGGCCGGCTGACAAGACTCTCGGCTGCAGGGGGCGGTGGCGATGACGATGACGAAGAAAAGGTGCGGTGGAGAAGATTATTGGTTGTTTGGAGAGAAGGGTTAAGGAGGCCAAAAGATTGGTCTAATAAAAATCTATTAGTTGGTCGACGAAATGTTAGGGGTTGCGGCGGAGAAGTCGGTGAACCGTCGCCACAACTGTTGGAAACTTCAGAGTTCCAAAGCTTGATAGAGGAATCGGGCAGCCAGTCAAAATCAACGCTTGCGAGGTCGGCGGAGGAATGCGAGACGGCGGAAAGAAACGGGGAGAAGGCCATGGAGGACGGCGGCGCGTGAAGAATATGAAAGGATCCGATCAGGGGGCACGTGAGAAGAGGGAAGAGGAAGCTCGGGAGAGTTGGAGAATGCAAATGCAGCATTGAGGGACTACTTATCCATGCGAGTTCGGATGATGACGTGGAATATGACGCCACGTTTTTTTTTTTTTTTTCATTTATTCATTTTGGAAAAAGCACGCAACTTTAAAATCGCTGACTCGTTTACTGTTATTATTTAGAAAAAAAAATCTCTGTTTGTTATAGAAAATACTCCATTTTCTTCCAAATTATTAAATAATATTGCCGACAATTTTATATTATTAAATTTGTGAAAGAGAAATTTAAAAATATTTGAAACAAATAATTTTTATTTTATTTTTGATATTTACATAAACTAAAATAATTATATTATCTTAAATACTTATTTTGTCCACTATTTCCTTTAAATATATATAAGAAAAATATTCGAAATTATGACTTCTCAGACAGTAAAAATATGGCTAAAAATGTCTAACTTTTATATTATATTTTAATTATCGAATGAGTATAGTTCATATTATATTTTAATTATCGACATGAGTATAGTTCAATTAGTTAAAATGTATAATATCAATTATCAACATGAGTACAGTTCAATGAGTTAAAATACAGAATATCAATCATCAACATGAATATAGTTTAATTAATTAAAATATAGAATATCAATCATCAACCTGAGTATAGTTCAATTAATTAAAATATAAAATATCGTTAAAAGTTTTAATTCCCACTATATTTATATCGTTAAAAGTTTTAATTCCCACTATATTTGGAAAAATAATACCTGATGAATTCATCGGAACCTCACCCAATTAAATTAAATATTAATTTTCAAACATGATTAAAACAATACTAGAAAGAGACCAAATATAGTTTGAAATTAGGGAGAAAAATAAAGGACATTTATTTATTTATTTATTCTCCAAGGGAAGTAAGAAGGATGTAGCAAGTGGGTCCATCATATCTTCTACTTCTACAATTGTCACTTTCAAAAAAATTGGGCATTTGCTAAGGAAGTGGGCTCGCTAACGTTTCGTTCATCCGTTGGTCTAAAACTACTTACCCTTTGCCTCAAGAATCCACTCTGTTAACTCATTTCCATTTCAATGAACAGCAAAAATTGGGGGAAAAAATGGATACTTTTATGCTTGGAAAGATGAAAGATGGGTGGTGGGGTTGTGGTGGATGCATCAAAGCTCGAAGCTTTAGGCCAAAAATGGAGGACCCAATGGCTCTAAAAGGCTCTCTTTATGATTCAAAGCTGGAAAATAAGGCTGCAGAACAGTAAAGGGCACTTCCATCCATGGGGGCCTCAAAAGCTTCAGAAAAAATTTCTTCTCCTCCAACTAATATGTTCGAAAGGCAATCTTGGAGATGCCCATATTATCAGGATTATTAATGGGCAAAAAAAGAGGTCATTTTGATATGATTTAACGAGGGGGGGCATATTAGAGAGATGCCCATATTTATATATATGTGGGTATGATTTAATTTAAGTTGGACGTTGAGGAACCGTGTGGGTTTTCCACATCGAAGGGTCATTTCCCAAAAAGGACCAAAGTTCAGTTCAAAGGCGAAAGGGCAAGTTGAAGAATAACCCATAAAGATAAGGCGAAGGCATAATGTATTGAGAGTCTTTGTCATTTAAAGGAGGAGGAGAAGAACTCAATGCTTTTCAAAGTTCAATCAAAATTTTGAAGACTTTCAATAATAGTATACCATTATGAGTATATGTAGGTATGGATGGCATCAAAGAATATGGAGGACTTGGAGTTCATCACTATTTTGAATAACACTTAAGTTCAATCGAGTTGGTATGAAATGATTGAATTTGATATCTATTTGATTTATTATCTCTAACGTTTTAAAAGAATCGTGATTAATGACCGACTCTATAGACTCTAATTTACTTAGTTGATTTGAAGAAATAGTTAGTTTGATGGCCTTTCTTTTTGTTGATTAGACTGTCTC